ACTGTCTCTGGTCCAGGGTTTTTATAGAGACGCCAAGGGGTGGAGCAAAAGACCTCCTCCCCCAGCACAGCCAAGTGCAGGCCATCTCAGACACCTGCACTCAGCCCCATGGTCCTGATCATCCTCTATTCGGACCTGCTGGGTAAAGCCACGAGGAACCCCAGAACGGGCTCCCACAGGAAGGGAAGGGGAAAGTGGTGTCATTATATTTTAATATCAAAAATAAAATAAAAAATGAAGGCATCTAACATGACAAGAAATGAAAAAGAGAGAGACAGAGAGAGAGAGACAGAGAGAGAGAGAAAGAATCATTAAATGTGCTCCAGTACAGCAGGCTGAGAGGCCATGGGAGCCATACAGAGTCCGTCTGCTTGGAAATGGCCTGACATGCTTTTCCGGATAACTGCTCTTCTCCTGATGTCTTTTTAGCATAGCTGCCTGTCTGATGAGTTGTAATAAGTGTTCTCGAACCTACCTTTGCATTGCCTAGTGCATTTTGTTCATCTCTAGAAAAGTCTAAAAATTTACAACACTTGTTTTTTTTTAGGCTGTCAAGAGACATAATCTAACAAAAAGATGGCTTATGAGAATCATTGATGAAAGAGTAAGTTGGAATTGTCCAAGTCTTAAATGTTTTTCCCTTTTTGATCCTTAGGTTAATTATTTATGGAGGAAAACATTTTATATGCATATTAATCTTTTGGAGGAAGAAAACTCAGAGAGCAAAGGTATTTTATCTGTAGCCCATCCTTACATGCCATACCTGTCACCCCACTTCCTATCGTGACTCAGATAGAGACCAGCACCTAGACAGAAAGCCAGCACCTAGACAGAAGGTGCATGGGTGAGTGCATGCATGCGTGCGTGCATGCCCGCCTGCCCGCCCTAAGGTCTGTGATCACAGCATGGGCTGCCATGCCCAGATAGCTGCCTTTGCTTCATGTATCTTCTCTCTTCATTAACTCCATTGGATGTTTTAAAAAAGGAAACTAGGGATTGACTAGGAGTTGCATCATTTGATCAGTAAATGCATATGTATCTTAAAAAGAAGTGTCTCAGTGGTAAAGCTTTTCAATGCTAGGTTTAATTCCTAGCATTACAAATGATAGACCAGTGGATAAGAAAGTAAATAGAAGAGCCTTTTGAAGACCATAACCACAGGTGATTACTGTGCCTTAAAAATGACTCCTTAATACAAATGTATACAATTAAATAAGTTCATATACTTCACTTGAATGTAAATGGATTATATGGTGATATATCTTGTAAACAAATGAATGTATGTTAGTTTTCTGTATGTGAATATATGATTAATGTGTTTATGGTGGAATGAATTAAAATTCTTTCTAGAATAAGAAAAAAAATGACTCCTTAAAAATGACTTGTTGGCCGGGCGGTGGTGGCGCACGCCTTTAATCCCAGCACTCGGGAGGCAGAGTCAGGTGGATCTCTGTGAGTTCGAGGCCAGCCTGGACTACCAAGTGAGCTCCAGGAAAGGCGCAAAGCTACGCAGAGAAACCCTGTCTCGAAAAACAAACAAAAACAAAAAAAAAAATGTTAAAAATGGCTCAGTTGGTAAGGAATGCCTTGCAAGCTGAGGACCCAAGTTAAGTCCCCAGGACCCATATTGAAAAACCAGGCACTCTTTTTATAGATACAGACAGATCTTTTTACAGATACAGCCAGTCCACCCCATTTGGCAAGCTCCAGGCCAAAAAGAGACCCCATTTCAAAGAACAAAGAGGGTAGTGTTTAAGAAAGGACTCTTAAGGTTATCCTTTGCCCTCTAAACACACATGTGTACCTGCACACACATGATCACACTCAAACACAAA